GGCCTGATCACCGACAACGATGAGACAGCCTATAGGGAGGAGGTCAGAGACCTGGCCGTGTGGTGCCAGGATAACAACCTCTCCCTCAACGTGACCAAGACAAAGGAGATGATTGTGGACTACAGGAAAAAAAAGAGGACTGAGCACGCCCCCATTCTCATCGATGGGGCTGTAGTGGAACAGGTTGAGAGCTTCAAGTTCCTTGGTGTCCACATCACCAACGAACTATCATGGTCCAAACACACCAAGACAGTCGTGAAGAGGGCACGACAAAGCCTATTCCCCCTCAGGAGACTGAAAACATTTGGCATGGGTCCTCAGATCCTCAAAAATGTATACAGCTACACCATCGGGAGCATCCTGACTGGTTGCATCACCGCCTGGTATGGCAACTGCTCGGCCTCTGACCGCAAGGCACTACAGAGGGTAGTGTGTATGGCCTAGTACATCACTGGGGCCAAGCTTCCTGCCATCCAGGACCTCTATACCAGGCGGTGTCAGAGGAAGGCCCTCAAAATTGTCAAAGACTCCAGCCACCCTAGTCATAGACTGTCCTCTCTGCTACCGCACGGCAAGCGGTACCGGAGCGCCAAGTCTAGGTCCAAAAGGCTTCTCAACAGCTTCTACGCCCAAGCCATAAGACTCCTGAACAGCTAATCATGTCTACCCGGACTATTTGCACCCCCACCCCATCTTTTTACGCTGCTGCTACTCTGTTAATTATTTATGCATAGTCACTTTAACTCTACCCACATGTACATATTACATTTACATTTTAGTCATTTGGCAGACGGTCTTATCCAGAGCGACTTACAGTTAGTGAGTGCCGCATTTTTTTTCTCATAATGGTCCCCCGTGGGAATCGAACCCACAACCCTGGCATTGCAAGCGCCATGCTCTACCAACTGTATTACCTCAACTAGCCGGTGCCCCCACACATTGACTCTGCACCGGTACCCCCCCTGTATATAGCCTCCCTACTGTTATTTTACTTCTGCTCTTTTTTTTCTCAACACTTGTTGGTTAAGGGCTGTAAGTAAGCATTTCACGGTAATGTCTACACCTGTTGTATTCGGCGCATGTGGCAAATAAAATTTGATTTGATGACGTTGCCCACTATATGTGCTTTCGGTAGCCTGATTGCATCCAGACTGAGGAGAAATCTGCACAAAATGCGTCCCTGACCACCACCTGAAGTGGTCAGCCAGATCTGAACACAATCAGACCACAAAGCAACTTTTGTGCGTCTAAAACTTGTCTTTTCAATGCGATCTTCGTATTCTGATAGCAGAATTTGCATGTAAGTGTAAAGTCTAAACACGACCTAAGAGCTTTGCACACCTGGATTGTACAATAAAATTCTTCATCCTCTGTCAAGTTGGTTGTTGATCATTGCTAGACAGCCATTTTCAAGTCTTGCCGTAGATTTAAGTCAAAACTGTAACAAGGCCACTCAGGAACATTCACTGTCTTGGTAAGCAACTCGATTTGGCCTTGTTTTTGGTTATTGTCCTGCTGAAAGGTGAATTTGTCTCCGTGTCTGTTGGAAAGCAGACTGAACCAGGTTTTCCTCTAGGATTATGCCTGTGCTTAGCTCTATTCGTTTCTTTTAATCCTCAAACTCGCTAGTCCTTGACGATGACAATAATTCCCATAACATGATGCAGCCATGATGATGATGTGTTGGATTTGCTCCAAACATACAGTGGGGAGAACAAGTATTTGATACACTGCCGGTTTTCCTACTTACAAAGCATGTAGAGGTCTGTATTTTTTATCATAGGTACACTTCAACTGTGAGAGACGGAATCTAAAACAAAATTCCAGAAAATCACATTGTATGATTTTTAAGTAATTCATTTGCATTTTATTGCATGACATAAGTATTTGATACATCAGAAAAGCAGAACTTAATATTTGGTACAGAAATATTCATACATTTCCTGTAGGTCTTGACCAGGTTTGCACACACTGCAGCAGGGATTTTGGCCCACTCCTCCATACAGACCTTCTCCAGATCCTTCAGGTTTCGGGGCTGTCGCTGGGCAATACGGACTTTCAGCTCCCTCCAAAGATTTTCTATTGGGTTCAGATCTGGAGACTGGCTAGGCCACTCCAGGACCTTGAGATGCTTCTTACGGAGCCACTCCTTAGTTGCCCTGGCTGTGTGTTTCGGGTCGTTGTCATGCTGGAAGACCCAGCCACGACCCATCTTCAATGCTCTTACTGAGGGAAGGTTGTTGTTGGCCAAGATCTCGCGATACATGGCCCCATCCATCCTCCCCTCAATACGGTGCAGTCGTCCTGTCCCCTTTGCATAAAAGCATCCCCAAAGAATGAAGTTTCCACCTCCATGCTTCACGGTTGGGATGGTGCTCTTGGGGTTGTACTCATCCTTCTTCTTCCTCCAAATACGGCAAGTGGAGTTTAGCCCAAAAAGCTCTATTTTTGTCTCATCAGACCACATGACCTTCTCCCATTCCTCCTCTGGATCATCCAGATGGTCATTGGCAAACTTCAGACGGGCCTGGACATGCGCTGGCTTGAGCAGGGGGACCTTGCGTGCGCTGCAGGATTTTAATCCATGACGGCGTAGTGTGTTACTAATGGTTTTCTTTGAGACTGTGGTCCCAGCTCTCTACAGGTCATTGACCAGGTCATGCCGTGTAGTTCTGGGCTGATCCCTCACCTTCATCATGATCATTGATGCCCCACAAGGTGAGATCTTGCATGGAGCCCCAGACCGAGGGTGATTGACCGTCATCTTGAACTTCTTCCATTTTCTAATAATTGCGCCAACAGTTGTTGCCTTCTCACCAAGCTGCTTGCCTATTGTCCTGTAGCCCATCCCAGCCTTGTGCAGGTCTACAATTTTATCCCTGATGTCCTTACACAGCTCTCTGGTCTTGGCCATTGTGGAGAGGTTGGAGTCTGTTTGATTGAGTGTGTGGACAGGTGTCTTTTTATACAGGTAACAAGTTCAAACAGGTGCAGTTAATACAGGTAATAAGTGGAGAAGAGGAGGGCTTCTTAAAGAAAAACTAACAGGTCTGTGAGAGCCGGAATTCTTACTGGTTGGTAGGTGATCAAATACTTCTGTCATGCAATAAAATGCTAATTAATTACTTAAAAATCATACAATGTGATTTTCTGGATTTTTGTTTTAGATTCCGTCTCTCACAGTTGAAGTGTACCTATGATAAAAATTACAGACCTCTACATGCTTTGTAAGTAGGAAAACCTGCAAAATCGGCAGTGTATCAAATACTTGTTCTCCCCACTGTAACTTTATGTCCTGAATACAAAATGTAACGTCTTTGCCAATTTCTTTTCAGTTTTACTTTCATGCCTTATTGCAAACAGGATGCATGTTTTGTAAAAAAATAAAATAATTCTGTACAGGCTTCCCTTTCACTCTTTCATTTAGCTTAGTATTGTGGATCAATGTTGTTGATCCATCCTCAGTTTTCTCCTATCACAGCCATTAAACTCTGTAACTGTTAAGATCACCATTGGCCTCATGATGAAATCCCCTGAGCGGTTTCCTTCCTCTCCAGAAACTGAGTTAGGAAGGACGCCTGTATCTTTGTAGTGACTGGGTGTATTGATACTCCATCCAAAGTGTAATTGAATTAATAACTTCACCACGCTCAAAGGGATATTCAAAATCAGCTTTTTTGAATTTATTTTTACTGATCTCCACTAATTATTCCCCAGGTCGTTGCAGTAAATGAGAATGTCTCCTCAGTCAACTTACCTGGTTAAATAAAAGGTGCCCTTCTTTGCGAGGTATTGGAAAAACTCTCTGGTCTTTGTTTTGAAATTCACTGCTCGACTGAGGGACCTTACAATTACCTGTATGTGTGGGTTACAGAGTTGAGGTAGTCATTCAAAAATCATGTTACACACTATTATTACACACAGTGAGTCCATTCAACTTATGTGACTTGTTAAGCACATTTTTACTTATTTAGGCTTGACATAGCAAAGGGGTTGAATACTTATTGACTCAAGACATTTCAGCTTTTCATTTTTGATTTAATTTGTAAACATTTCTAAAAACATAATTCTACTTTGACATTATGGGGTATTGTGTATAGGCCAGTGACCAAACAAATCTCAATTTTAAATTCAGGCTGTAACAACAAAATGTGGAAAAAGTCAATGGGTGTGAATACTTTCTGAAGGCACTGTATATATCTGACTAGTGTTCTGTATCAACAGCAGCGTATCATCCACCCGACAACTAGAGATTAAGACCAGTAAAAAAAACAGGCTTGTTTAAGCTCTTGAGTTGTAACAAGGTCAACTGGATATTAGTGATGCAATTTGATGTTGTGTAGAGCAGTCTTCTTTCTCGTACTGTAGGCTATTTCAATTGTCTTTGCTGGATCTTTGCAAAGAGCGCTCAAGACGGGTTTCTCAATAGATTGTGCCAATGAGAAACCCGTCTCAGCAAGGTTTAAGTAAAGCTCTTGAGCCCGGCAGCCATCTTAATGGCAGTGTGTGGATTAGACAGGATAAAAGTAGCTTACAACATTGGAGTGGCTGAATTCCTAAGATGTGTTGGCTCCTGTAAGTGATAGCTATGGGCTTTGGAAGTGAACAGTTGTAGATGGTAAGGGGAGTTTTTGACTACAAACTGGGGTGGTTTTGACTGTGTAACTGCTAGGGACGATATGAGTATTGCGATACTCGTTAGTATCGTGGCAAGGAAACAAAGCACAAAGCGGATTTAACTTCTTTAGGAAACAAACATCATTATGTTGTCATACAGAGTCACATTATTTATTTTCCAAGCTATAGACTACTATTTTACATACAGCAGGTTTTTAAAGGACAAAAGAGTTAAGTCTGCTTCGTGTTTTACTTTTTGGCATGGAAAAAATATTGCAATACTGGTATGGTCACAGCCCTAGTAACTGCTGAAATTCCATCAGGCTAGTAAGGATCTTCAGTGACTAGGCTAACGATGATGTAATCCTTCCACAGGTGGCGTCGTTGAGGAGGGTTGGAGCACAGACAAAATGGTGACCATTCCTGAGTACTATGAGGGGAAGAATGTGCTGATCACAGGGGCCACAGGCTTTATGGGAAAAGTCCTGCTGGAGAAGCTGCTGCGGTCCTGCCCTGGAGTCAAGGCCGTGTACGTCCTGGTCCGGCCCAAAGCGGGACACGCTCCCCAGGCCCGCATCGCAGACATGATCAACTGCAAGGTGAGAAGAGCTGGAGAAGGGGAATGTTATAGGGGGGCAGCTTAAATGGGATCTCTGTAGGCTGTGTGGGGTGACGCATCATAAGTTCTTGACTGCTTGTTACGGAGACTTCGTAGTTCCACAGCCCACACTCTCCATACTGTCTTTACAATTGGGCTGTGGCAGACCATGATGTAGGCTAGCCTAAGTCTTACTAATGGGATTGCTTTCTTGAAGTGCTTTCAAACTAAAACGCATCCCTCCATCAACACATTGCTTTCATTAAAAAAACATTGAGTAGGCTAATTTTGATTTATTGGCTGTGAAAGTGGCATGAAGGAGTATTACAATTGTATTTGTTTTTCAGCTTTTTGACAGGTTACGAGATGAACAGCCAGACTTTGCTGAGAAGATAGTGGCTGTGAACAGTGACCTCACACTGCCAGAACTGGACCTGAGCAAAGAGGACCAGGAAACGCTTGCTGACTGCATCAACATAGTCTTCCACTGTGCTGCAACCATCCGATTCAACGAGCCTCTAAAGTGAGCCATTGTTTCTCTCCTGATACTGATTCTGCTCCCCAGATCGTTGTTTCACTTCTGCTCCCAGAACCTTGCTGGACAGTGCTGCACACACACACACAACCTGCATTCGGAAAGTATTGACCCCTTGACTTTTTCCACGTTTTGTTACGTTACAGCTTTATTCTAAAATAGATTAAATTAATTGTACTTCTCATCAATCTACACATAATACCCCACAATGACAAAGCGAAAATAGGTTTTTAGAAATTTTTGCAAATGTATTAATAATAAAAAAAACAATACCTTATTTACATAACTATTCAGTCCCTTTTGCTATGAGACTCAAAGTTGAGCTCAGGTGCATCCTGTTTCCATTGATCATCCTTGAGATGTTTCTTCAACTTGATTGGAGTCCACCTGTGGTAAATTCAATTGATTGGGCATAATTTGGAAAGGCACACACCTGTCTATATAAGGTCCCACAGTTGACAGTGCATGTCAGAGCGAAACTCAAGCCATGAGGTCGAAGGAATTGTCCGTAGAGCTTCCGAGACAGGATTGTGTCGAGGCACAGATCTGGGGAAGGGTACCAAAATGTTTCTGCAGCATTGAAGGTCCCCAAGAACACTGTGGCCTCCATCATTCTTAAATGGAAGAAGTTTGGAACCACCAAGACTCTTACTAGAGCTGGCCGCACGCTCAAACTGAGCAATCGGGGGAGAAGGGCCTCAGACTGGGGCGAAGGTTCACCTTCCAACAGGACAACGATCCTAAGCACACAGCCAATACAATGCAGGAGTGGCTTTGGGACAAGTCTCAGAATGTCCTTGAGTGGCCCTGACTTGAACCCGATCGAACATCTCTGGAGAGACCTGAAAATAGCTGTGCAGCGACGCTCCCCATCCAACCTGACAGAGCTTGAGAGGATCTGCAGAGAAGAAGGGGAGAAACTCCCCAAATACAGGCGTGCCAAGCTTGTAGCGGCATACCCAAGAAGACTCGAGGCTGTAATCTCTGCCAAAGGTGCTTCAACAAAGTACTGAGTAAAGGGTCTGAATACTTACGTAAATGTGATATTTCCGTTTTTAAATACATTTGCAAGATTTTCTAAAAACCTGTTTTTGCTTTGTCATTATGGGGTATTGTGTATAGATTGAGAGGGGGGAAAAACAACAATTTAATACATTTTAGAATAAGGCTGTAACGTAACAAAATGTGGAAAAAGTCAAGGGGTCTGAATACTTTCCGAATGCGCACATACATACATACATACATACATACATACATACATACATACATACATACATACATACATACATACATACATTACCAGTCAAAAGTTTGGACACCTACTCATTCAAGGGTTTTGATTTATTTTCACTATTTTCTACATCATAACTATGAAATAACACATATGGAATCATGTAGTAACCAAAAAAGTTTTTTAAAAAATCAAATTATATTTGAGGTTCTTCAAAGTAGCCACCCTTTGCCTTGATGACAGCTTTGCACACTCTTGGCATTCTCTCAACCAGCTTCACCTGGAATGCTTTTCCAACAGTCTTGAAGGAGTTCCCACATGTGCTGAGCACTTGTTGGCTGCTTTTCCTTCACTCTGCGGTCCAACTCATCCCAAACCAGCTCAATTGGGTTGAGGTTGGGTGATTGTGAAGGCCAGGTCATCTGATCCAGCACTCCATATCTCTCCTTCTTGGTAAAATAGCCCTTACACAGCCTGGAGGTGTGTTTGGTCATTGTCCTGTTAAAAAACAAATGATAGTCCCACTAAGCGCAAACCAGATGGGATGGCGTATCGCTGCAGAATGCTGTGGTAGCCATGCTGGTTAAGTGTACCTTTGAATTCTAAATAAATCAGACAGTGTCACCAGCAAAGCACCCCCACACCATCACACCTCCTCCATGCTTCACAGTGGGAACCACACATGCGGAGATCATCCGTTCACCTACTCTGCGTGTCACAAAGATACAGCGGTTGGAACCAAAAATCTGAATCATCAGACCAAAGGACAGATTTCCACTGGTGTAATGTTCATTGCTCGTGTTTCTTGGCCCAAGCAAGTCTCTTCTTATTGGTGGCCTTTCATAGTGGTTTCTTTGCAGCAATTCGACCATGAAGGCCTGATTCACGCAGTTGATGTTGAGATGTGTCTGTTACTTGAACTCTGTGAAGCATTTATTTGGGCTGCAATTTCGAAGGCTAGTAACTCTAATGAACTTATCCTCTGCAGCAAAGGTAACTCTGGGTCTTCCTTTCCTGTGTCGGTCCTCATGAGAGCCAGATTCATCATAGCGCTTGATGGTTTTTGCGACTGCACTTGAAGAAACTTTCAAAGTTCTTGAAATGTTCCATATTGTCTGACCTTCATGTCTTAAAGTAATGATGGACTGTCGTTTCTCTTTGCTTATTTGAGCTGTTCTTGCCATAATATGGACTTAGCCTTATTTGGTAAAATACCATCTTCTGTATACCACCCCTACCTTGTCACAACACAACTGATTGGCTCAAACACATTAAGAATTAAATAAATTCCACAAATTAACTTTTAACAAGGCACACCTGTTAATTGAAATGCATTCCAGGTGACTACCTCAAGAAGCTAGTTGAGAGAATGCCAAGTGTGCACATGCAGCTAACAAAAACATATGGAAATATCTGATCTACTGAAATTACAACCAAATAATTGCAGCATTACCACAAAAATGGAAGGGGGAAAAGGTAAGGAACTTGTCTGTCGGCCCTGCATTAAAGAACATAATTTGTTAAAGAAAATTGTGATAAATAAAAAAGTATACCAGTTTCGTTTAAGGACCAAAGGATTGACAGCTGTCCCATATAGATTGCAAAATAGTTGGGAAGAGATTTTTGACTCACCGATTCCATGGCATGGTGTTTATGAACTGATACGCAAAACGACGCCGGATTCAAAACTTATAATGATTTTAATTGAAAAATTATATCAAAGTTTTGCTACCAATAGAATGTATCCCCCATATAAATAACAATCTTCCCAGCTCTGCAGATTTTGCTGCGAAGAGACGATCATTGTTTTGGTACTGTCCATTTGTAGCTTGTTTTTGATCACAGGTCCAGGAATGGCTGAAGGATTGCAATATTTACCTGGAGCTAACCCTGCAGATAGCACTACTGGGTGATCTGAAAAGTCATAGTAAATCGATCAATAATGTAATAATACTTTTAGCAATAATGTTTATTTTCAATTTACAATTGGTAGAAACAATGAAAAATAGAAAGGTTCAGAACTTTTGTGAAACATCACAGTACAGTTGAAAAATATATGGCAAATAGAAATCCAATATGGATGGTGTTAAGAGATAGATGGGTGGTGTTGAATGGAGCTGAAGGATGGGACTAATAACAACAAGATAACTATTGTAAAGCATGCTGTGTCCATAATAAGTATATACAGTGGGGAAACAGTGGGAAGCATGCTGTGTCCATAATGCGTATATAGGTTGTAGGTTGGGAGCTTTTGTGAAAGAGCACAGTTAGAAAGATATGGCATATACAGTGGGGGAAAAAAGTATTTAGTCAGCCACCAATTGTGCAAGTTCTCCCACTTAAAAAGATGAGAGAGGCCTGTAATTTCCATCATAGGTACACGTCAACTATGACAGACAAATTGAGGAAAAAAAATCCAGAAAATCTCATTGTAGGATTTTTAATGAATTTATTTACAAATTATGGTGGAAAATATGTATTTGGTCACCTACAAACAAGCAAGATTTCTGGCTCTCACAGACCTGTAACTTCTTCTTTAAGAGGCTCCTCTGTCCTCCACTCGTTACCTGTATTAATGGCACCTGTTTGAACTTGTTATCAGTATAAAAGACACCTGTCCACAACCTCAAACAGTCACACTCCAAACTCCACTATGGCCAAGACCAAAGAGCTGTCAAAGGACACCAGAAACAACATTGTAGACCTGCACCAGGCTGGGAAGACTGAATCTGCAATAGGTAAGCAGCTTGGTTTGAAGAAATCAACTGTGGGAGCAATTATTAGGAAATGGAAGACATACAAGACCACTGATAATCTCCCTCGATCTGGGGCTCCACGCAAGATCTCACCCCGTGGGGTCAAAATGATCACAAGAACGGTGAGCAAAAATCCCAGAACCACACGGGGGGACCTAGTGAATGACCTGCAGAGAGCTGGAACCAAAGTAACAAAGCCTACCATCAGTAACACACTACGCCGCCAGGGACTCAAATCCTGCAGTGCCAGACGTGTCCCCCTGCTTAAGCCAGTACATGTCCAGGCCTGTCTGAAGTTTGCTAGAGTGCATTTGGATGATCCAGAAGAGGATTGGGAGAATGTCATATGGTCAGATGAAACCAAAATATAACTTTGGTAAAAACTCAACTCGTCGTGTTTGGAGGACAAAGAATGCTGAGTTGCATCCAAAGAACACCATACCTACTGTGAAGCATGGGGGTGGAAACATCATGCTTTGGGGCTGTTTTTCTGCAAAGGGACCAGGATGACTGATCCGTGTAAAGGAAAGAATTAATGGGGCCATGTATCGTGAGATTTTGAGTGAAAACCTCCTTCCATCAGCAAGGGCATTGAAGATGAAACGTGGCTGGGTCTTTCAGCATGACAATGATCCCAAACACACTGCCCGGGCAACGAAGGAGTGGCTTCGTAAGAAGCATTTCAAGGTCCTGGAGTGGCCTAGCCAGTCTCCAGATCTCAACCCCATAGAAAATCTTTGGAGGGAGTTGAAAGTCCGTGTTGCCCAGCGACAGCCCCAAAACATCACTGCTCTAGAGGAGATCTGCATGGAGGAATGGGCCAAAATACCAGGAACAGTGTGTGAAAACCTTGTGAAGACTTACAGAAAACATTTGACCTGTGTCATTGCCAACAAAGGGTATATAACAAAGTATTGAGAAACTTTTGTTATTGACCAAATACTTATTTTCCACCATAATTTGCAAATAAATTCATTAAAAATCCTACAATGTGATTTTCTGGATATTTTTTCCTCATTTTGTCTGTAATAGTTGACGTGTACCTATGATGAAAATTACAGGCCTCTCTCATCTTTTTAAGTGGGAGAACTTGCACAATTGGTGGCTGACTAAATACTTTTTTTTCCCCACTGTAGGTTGAGAGCTTTTGTGAAAGAGCACAGTTGGAAAGATATGGCATATAGAAGCAAACCGGATGGACATCATGAAAATGATCGGAGAGGTTGAGGGTAGAGGAAGTTCAGGAGTAAAAACAAACAAAATGGAATTGTTGTAAATAAAATGTATATAGTGTGTGTGTATATATAAGCTGGAGGTAGAGGCCTAAGAGTTGTTGTTCACTAGTTTACTCCAATTAGGGAAGGGGTGCTGGGGTTGGAAAGTAATAAAGGGAAATATATTGTTAAAAAGTGTTTTTGTGTGTACAGTTGAAGTCGGAAGTTTGCATACACCTTAGCCAAATACATTTAAACTCAGTTTTTCACAATTCCTGACATTTAATCCTAGTAAAAATTCCCTGTCTTAGGTCAGTTAGGATCACCACTTTATTTGAAGAATGTGAAATGTCAGAATAATTATTTTATTTCAGCTTTTATTTCTTTCATCACATTCCCAGTGGGTCAGAAGTTTACATACACTCCAATTAGTATTTGGTAGCATTGCCTTTAAATTGTTTAACTTGGGTCAAACGTTTCGGGTAGCCTTCCACAGGCTTCCCACAATAAGTTGGGTGAATTTTGTCCCATTCCTCCTGACAGAGCTGGTGTAACTGAGTCAGGTTTGTAGGCCTCCTTGCTCGCACACGCTTTTTCAGTTCTGCCCACACATTTTCTATAGGATTGAGGTCAGGGCTTTGTGATGGCCACTCCAATACCTTGACTTTGTTGTCCTTAAGCCATTTTGCCACAACGTTGGAAGTATGCTTGGGGTCATTGTCCATTTGGAAGAACCATTTGCGACCAAGCTTTAACTTCCTGACTGATGTTTTGAGATGTTGCTTCAATATATCCACATCATTTTCCTTCCTCATGATGCCATCTATTTTGTGAAGTGCACCAGTCCCTCCTGTAGCTAAGCACCCCCACAGCATGATGCTGCCACCCCTGTGCTTCACGTTTGGGATGGTGTTCTTCGGCTTGCAAGCGCCCCCCTTTTCCTCCAAACATAACAATGGTCATTATGGCCAAACAGTTCTATTTTTGTTTCATCAGACCAGAGGACATTTCTCCAAAAAGTACGATCTTTGTCCCCATGTGCTGTTGCAAACCATAGTTTGGCTTTTTTATGGCAGTTTTGGAGCAGTGGCTTCATCCTTGCTGAGCGGCCTTTCAGGTTATGTCGATTATAGGACTCGTTTTACTGTGGATATACACTGCTCTAAAAAATAAAGGGAACACTTAAACAACACAATGTAACTCCAAGTCAATCACACTTCTGTGAAATCAATCTGTCCACTTAGGAAGCAACACTGATTGACAATGAATGTCACATGCTGTTGTGCAAATGGAATAGACAACAGGTGGAAATTATAGGCAATTAGCAAGACACCCCCAATAAAGGAATGGTTCTGCAGGTGGTGACCACAGACCACTTCTCAGTTCCTATGCTTCCTGGCTGATGTTTTGGTCACTTTTGAATGCTGGCAGTGCTTTCACTCTAGTGATAGCATGAGACGGAGTCTACAACCCACACAAGTGGCTCAGGTAGTGCAGCTCATCCAGGATGGCACATCAATGCGAGCTGTGGCAATAAGGTTTGCTGTGTCTGTCAGCGTAGTGTCCAGAGCATGGAGGCGCTACCAGGAGACAGGCCAGTACATCAGGAGACGTGGAGGAGGCCGTAGGAGGGCAACAACCCAGCAGCAGGACCGCTACCTCCGCCTTTGTGCAAGGAGGAGCAGGAGGAGCACTGCCAGAGCCCTGCAAAATGACCTCCAGCAGGCTACAAATGTGCATGTGTCTGCTCAAACGGTCAGAAACAGACTCCATGAGGGTGGTATGAGGGCCCGACGTCCACAGCCCGACGCTTACAGCCCATCACCGTGCAGGACGTTTGGCATTTGCCAGAGAACACCAAGATTGGCAAATTCGCCACTGGCGCCCTGTGCTCTTCACAGATGAAAGCAGGTTCACACTGAGCACGTGTGACAGACGTGACAGAGTCTGGAGACGCCGTGGAGAACGTTCTGCTGCCTGCAACATCCTCCAGCATGACCAATTTGGCGGTGGGTCAGTCATGGTGTGGGGTGGCATTTCTTTGGGGGGCCGCACAGCCCTCCATGTGCTCGCCAGAGGTAGCCTGACTGCCATTAGGTACCGAGATGAGATCCTCAGACCCCTTGTGAGACCATATGCTGGTGCGGTTGGCCCTGGGTTCCTCCTAATGCAAGACAATGCTAGACCTCATGTGGCTGGAGTGTGTCAGCAGTTCCTGCAAGAGGAAGGCATTGATGCTATGGACTGGCCCGCCCGTTCCCCAGACCTGAATCCAATTGAGCACATCTGGTCTCGCTCCATCCACCAACGCCACGTTGCACCACAGACTGTCCAGGAGTTGGCGGATGCTTTAGTCCAGGTCTGGGAGGAGATCCCTCAGGAGACCATCCGCCACCTCATCAGGAGCATGCCCAGGCGTTGTAGGGAGGTCATACAGGCACGTGGAGGCCACACACACTACTGAGCCTCATTTTGACTTGTTTTAAGGACATTACATCAAAGTTGGATCAGCCTGTAGTGTGGTTTTCCACTTTAATTTTGAGGGTGACTCCAAATCCAGACCTCCGTGGGTTGATAAATTTGATTTCCATTGATAATTTTTGTGTGATTTTTGTTGTCAGCACATTCAACTATGTAAAGAAAAAAGTATTTAATAAGATTATTTCATTCAGATCTAGGATGTGTTATTTTAGTGTTCCCTTTATTTTTTTGAGCAGTGTAGATACTTTTGTACCGGTTTCCTCCAGCATCTTCACAAGGTCCTTTGCTGTTGTTCTGGGATTGATTTGCACTTTTCGCACCAAAATACGTTCATCTCTAGGAGACAGAACGCGTCTCCTTCCTGAGCGGTATGATGGCTGCGTGGTCCCATGTTGTTTATACTTGCGTACTATTGTTTGTACAGATGAACGTGGTACCTTCAGGCGTTTGGAAATTGCTCCCATGGATGAACCAGACTTGTGGAGGTCTACAATTGTTTTTCTGAGGTCTTGGCTGATTTCTTTTGATTTTCCCATGATGTCAAGCAAAGAGGCACTGCGTTTGAAGGTAGGCCTTGAAATACATCCAAAGATACACCTACAATTGACACACATTATGTCCTCTGTAGCTGTATGGGTGGTCCTCTGTAGCTCAGCTGGTAGAGCACGGCGCTTGTAACGCCAAGGTAGTGGGTTCGATCCCCGGGACCACCCATACACAAAAAAATAAAAATAAAATAATAATATGTAAGCACGCATGACTGTAAGTCGCTTTGGATAAAAGCGTCTGCTAAATGGCATATTATATTATTATTATATTATTATATAATTAGCCTATCAGAAGCTTCTAAAGCCATGTCATCATTTTCTGGAATTTTCCAAGCTGTTTAAAGGCACAGTCAACTTAGTGTATGTAAACTTCTGACCCACTGGAATTGTGATTAAGTGAAATAATCTGTCTGTAAACAATTGTTGAAAAATGACTTGTGTCATGCATAAAGTAGATGTCCTAACCGACTTGCCAAAACTATAGTTTGTTAACAAGAAATTTGTGGAGTGGTTGAAAATCAAGTTTTAATGACTACAACCTAAGTGTATGTAAACCTCCGACTTCAACTGTATATATGCGAGGAAAAAAAACATATGGGGGACAGGAAGTGATGCAGACAATTGCATTGATGGAAGTTACAATCTATCTGCAATATTAAAGCTGATCTACCCCCAAAAAATAAAAGTTTTGCACAATCATCAAGGCAAAGGGTGGCTACTTTGAAGAGTCTCAAATATAAAATATGTTTTGATTTGTTTAACACTTTTTTTGGTTACTACATGATTCCATATGTGCTATTTCATAGTTTAGATGTTTTCACTATTATTCTACAATGTAGAAAATAGTCAAAATAAAGAAACCCTTGAATGAGGAGGTGTCCAAATGTGTGTGTGTGTGTGTGTGTGTGTGTGTGTGTGTGTGTTACCAGTCAAAAGTTTGGACACCTACTCAGAAAAGAGAAACGACAGTCTATCATTACTTTAAGACATGAAGGTCAGTCAATACGGAACATTTCAAGAACTTTGAAAGATTCTTCAAGTGCAGTCGCAAAAACCATCAAGTGCTATTATGAATCTGGCTCTCATGAGGACCACCACAGGAATGGAAGACCCAGAGTTACCTCTGCTGCAGAGGATAAGTTCATTAGAGTTACTAGCCTCAGAAATTGCAGCCCAAATAAATGTTTCACAGAGTTCAAGTCACAGACACATCTCAACATCAACTGTTCAGATGGGACTGTGTTAATCAGGCCTTCATGGTCGAATTGCTGCAAAGAAACCACTACTAAAGGACACCAATAAGAAAAAGAGACCTGCTTGGGCCAAGAAACACGAGCAATGGATGTTAGACCGGTGGAAATGTGTCCTTTTGGTCTGGAGTCCAAATTTGAGATGTTTTGGTTCCAACTGCCGTGTCTTTGTGAGATGTGGTGTGGGTGAACGGATGATCTCTGCATGTGTAGTTCCCACCGCAAAGCATGGAGAAGGAGGAGGTGTTATGGTGTGGGGGTGCTTTGCTGGCGACACTGTCTGTGGTTTATTTAGAATTCAAGGCACACGAGTTCTAAAACTTTTGACCGTTAGTGTATATCGTTTCTGTAATTATGTTTTGTAAAATGTGTCTTTGTTCTCCTTCTTTCAGAGATGCTATGCTGCTGAATGTTCTAGCCACCCAGAAGATGGTGGCTCTGGCCCACAGAATGAAGCACTTGGAGGTGTTCCTCCACGTGTCCACAGCCTACGCCAACTGTGACCGAACACTCATTGAGGAAGTGGTTTACCCAACTCCTGTTGACTACAAGAAGCTCATCGACAGCCTAGAGTGAGAAAAGTTATTTGCAGATTGTAAGAGACGGAAGCCAAGAGTTTAGTAATTTACAACTTGCCGTGTTTGACTGAGAGGAAATGGAAATCATAGATAAGTATATTCTTTGCATCCTGTGGATTAGTTTGTAGTGGCTAATGCACAAGCTTGGTAGCTATCCCTTGAGGGTCTCTCAATATGTCACTGCATGGACTGAAACTGTGTGCCAACACAGGGAAGGTCTCTGATTTTAACCTTTATGGAGTTTGGTTACTTATTGAGTGGCACTCACTCATTTGTGGTAGGGCAATTGCAACTGTTAACAGGACATTTGCTTTACTCTAAATGTTAGGTGTGGCCTCTGACTGCTCTTGCAGGTGGTGCAATATGTCACACATGCACAACATGGTCACCAGTTGTGTGAAAGTCAGTGTTCTGTTCATGTAGGAATGTTTCCACCCCTAAGTATTACAGTAGGCGTTTGCTAATTTCTTCAGAGACATACATGTATGTGTGTGGGGGAAAGAGAATTTCAGAAATTTTATTTGGTTTGTGGTCTTGGGAATATATATTTGTATTTGAGCAATATGGCAGATAATTGACCTTTTTTTTTTGTGGCTCTGTCTTCAATGTTTTCACGTTGGTTAGGTGGATGGATGAGAAGCTGGTCTCGGCGATGACCCCAGGGCTGATTGGAAAAAGGCCCAACACGTACACCTACACCAAGGCCATGGCTGAGTACCTGGTCCAGCAGGAGTGTGGAAACCTCAACGTGGCTATAATCAGGCCCTCTATAGTAGGGGCCAGTTGGAAAGAGCCATTCCCAGTGAGTCTTCTCATGTACTGAGCCGGCTGTCTTCTAAACTGTAGCTATACTGTAACTGACCTTGGTCAATTCTGCATGCTGTTCATAACATGTTTTTTCACTCTTAGGGTTGGATTGATAATTTCAATGGACCTAGTTGGAAATTAAATTCATGTGCAGTAAGTACCATTTCCTTTAGAAAAACAGTGAAGTGTTCGTCAATATGTAAACACGCTCAGGAGACAGCATAATGTGCATAATGACCAATTTTCCAAAAAGTGTGGGTTACTGGTGATTTAAACTGAGAGGAAACACCTTTCCCATCATTTGGGTAATGAACACCGTAGCACTTCTCTCGCCCTGATTCTTATAGGCAGGAAAGGGCATCTGCTGCACCATGAGAGCGTTCCAATCCAGAGACACCCGGGTGGCTGACCTGGTGCTGTGGGACGTGGGTCATCAATACCCACAACTGGCTGCTGCTAGGTGACTCTGGTACTCGGCTCCCAGAGACACACCAGGTCAGTCTCCCACACACTGCTGCTGCCCTCTGTAGAGCTGGACGAAGAATGGGATTGTGAAATGCAAATATTCTTTCAGGTTTCTATGGAAGGCATTTTATTTTGTTCCCTTTTGTCCCCGCAGGCCTAAGAGCATATTGGTGTACAATTGCACGACAGGCAGCATCAACCCGTTCCACTGGGGTGAAGTTGGTATGAAACACTCATATCTTATCCAAATACACTCTTGCTGGATTTGTTCTCGGATGCTCCAACAAAGCCGAATGATAAATAATGATTATCAGTCATACTCTTGAGGGCCCACTCTTGTCACTGTAGTGAATGTGAGTAGGTTTTGGTTTACTCAAACCCTCATTGGAGTGTTAGTCACCTCCCTGTAAATGACCTCTCCTGGATTTGTGTACAGTTTAGTCATTTAGCACGCACTCTAATTCAGAGTGACTTACAGTAATGAGTGCGTACATTTTCATACTTTCTCGTACTGGTCCCTCTTGGTAATCAAACCGACAACCCTGGCGTTGCAAGCACCATGTTATACCAACTGAGCCACACAGGATCCTGTGTACATAGTCTCTGAATGCTAGCCATCTGAGAAAGATCAACATTGTGGCAGGCTTAAAGGCAATAGGTAAACTATATAACATGACTGGTATTCTTGAAATGAAAAACTGTTCCAGTCTTAGTACAATATTTGTTTAGTGCATTAAAGACTGATGACATTTTCAAAGTGGCAGTTGTATAGTTCCCTTTAAGCTGTTAACCTGGTGGGTTTGTTGTAGTAAATGTCATATATTGTAAGTCAATATATTTGTTACTCATTTACCATAGATTTGTATGCTTTTAAAATATTTCAGGTGAAATCACTTTGTTGTTAACATAGGCTTACTTTGAAGTCCAGATTTGTGCTGTTGTTTTGTAATATCCCTAGTCTCCTGCAATAACTTGTATGGTTAAAAATAATAATTGTTAAAAGCACTTCAAAAGGTATTTTGTCTAAACCAAACATTTGGCTTTGTTGCTGCTTGTCGTACGCTTGCTGCTTCGATTGTTCTTTTCACTTTGGAGAAATGAGTGGTTGTGCCAACATTCCCCCTGTTGAACCCCCTACCTTTTGTCTCTTAGAGTACCATGTAATATCCACTTTCAAGAGGAACCCCCTCGAGCAGGCCTTCAGACGGCCCAATGTAAATCTCACAACCAATCACCTTATCAATCAGTACTGGATCGCTGTAAGCCACAAGGCACCAGCCTTCCTTTATGATCTCTGCCTCAGGATGACGGGAAGAGAGCCCAGGTAAATAACACCCCGCTCGGTCATACTCCATCTCCCTCCGCATTCTTACTCAGTGTAGCCCAATGTACTGAACCTGCACCAGCGATGTTATGCTTCTGTCCAGTGTCTGGGGGGGGGGGTGTAAGGCTAAGGGTGCATAAGCCACCCATATACCTTTTAGAGATGGGTTCTGCACTCTTAGCCCTCTGTGTTACCTCAACGTGTCCTGGCATTGAATGTCCTTCCTCCTGTGATGTCATATTCTCTCTGCAGAGTACTGTATAAACATGACCTTCAAGACCAACCCCTTAGAGCAGGCTTTCAGGTGCCCCGATGTTAACCTGCGGTCCAACTCCTTTACCAATCAGTACTGGACCACAGTGAGTCACACACTTCCCACCCTGCTGAATGACGGGTATCTCAGGGCCACGGGTCAGAAGCCCCAGTAAGGTCTACTACAGTGCCCGTGCCCTCTCAACCCCCTCTCCCCTCCACCACTGGGTGCAGGTTGTGTGGCATGGTGGGTGGGGGGAAGCAACGCCCTGACGTTTGCTCAACTTCATGGCATCGGAGTTCGCTGGCTGCTAACCTGCTACCGTGTCATCATGACAAGCATGGGTTCCTGTCCAAAGCATGCTTCAGGAACGTTTTATTTAAATAATTTATTTTGTCACACTTTTTGTTTGACCCTTTTTGCCTGGTACTGCATTTGTCATTTTTTTATGCAGTTGAACCATTTGGCTCTGATCAGATGTGAAACTTGTCCATTCACTTTTACTTTTGTGGAATATTTTTTGTGGAATATTTTTTTGGGGGTTACATTTTTGTTTTTCTTAGGCATGCCATTAAGTCTTCTGAAGTAACCTGGGAGTGATCTGTCCTCATCCTCGTCCTCCTCCACTCTTCAACCTTATCTCTCAAACAGAGGCACCAGGGAACTAGTTTAGACTAATACCATGTACCAAACACTTGTCCTTTATTCATTGACCCATCAACACTTCTATTCTTGGTAGCCCTATTCCTAGGCTTAATGAAGCACGTTGTGGGACAAATGGAATGCGCTGGCAGTAATTGACAATCTTACAAGCCAATGGAACTTGACCCTGTAAATGTATCAGTGAGTCATTGGGTGGACCTACTTAATCCCCACCTATTGTTTCATTAAACATCTAGGTCATGGTTCAGTCTAACCAAGTGTTTGGTACCCGATGTTTACAGTATTGGTCCCCACAAGTTGATCGTAAACCAGAAACATTTCAGCAATGATAAACATTTGTTAACACTTTTGAAAATTATTTGACAATTTGTCTGTCTGAAATGCATTTGGTTTAGTATACAACATATTCGAAGGGTGTTGTTAATAGATGGGGTTCCCACTCACTGAAAAAGGTAATACGTCAATGTTTGACTTTTTAAATGGTCCACCATGCATGTTTTGTCAGCTTCCTCTTGGTGCACAATGTATCATGGAGGGACTCTGAGCTCTGACTACATTTTACATTTTAGTCATTTAACAGACGCTCTTATCCAGAGCGACTTACAGTTAGTGAGTACATACATTTTCGTACTGCCTAGAATACTAGTATGCTTACACTCTTATCAGTGTTATATTCGTATATTATAGATTGCTGGATTCATGCCGTTCTTTATTTAAAGATGCACTATGCAGAAATCGCTCCGCCATTTCCTGGTTGCTAACAATAGTTTGCCTAATTTCAGTTTGTGACAAAACAAGCAAGTATAGTGTAGAGAATCATTGTACAATCTAAACCGCTGTGAAATAATACATTTTCCATAACCAATAATATTGTATTTTCAGCTGTTTGAAGCTAGTGTACCAAACCAAAAGTAAGACGCAAAAATGAAACTTAAATACGGGAAGCATAGAAATAGTGCACATAGAACAGAACTACAGCTTCTTAGACTTGCTTTCAATGAAAATGACAGATTTATAACCCAAATGTCTATGTAAATTTGGTCGGGTAGCCCAAAACCGTACATATTGCAGCTTTAAAGCTGTGAAAGTGTGCAGGGGTCAGATGTTTGAAAATCTGAAGCGATGACATACCCTTACGTTTTATTCTGATATTTGTACAAATTTTGCTCAGAGGTCACCTTTTCCTTGTACAAAAAGACCAATAAGTTATTTTCATCCTTTGTTCCATTTTGGCCATTGTTTGCTTAACAGTTAGCTGGAGTTAGTTTCAATGTCAGTCAAGGGGAGGATTTAGTATATTTTTTAATCTAGTCCAGGGGAGGGTCATGCAATTGATGAAATTTCAATATTTCTCAGTGTTTTAGAATTGGTAGCTTATGAGGCTATATATCGATGTGTGCCCGATGCCACCCTCATCTCTGATTCACTGCTGGGCGCGCAATATCATTTGCGCCTATAGGTTATTTAGTGTAGCCTCAATCAAATTCATAGGCTATAGGCTACGAAATGCATGCTCGGAGAAGCACAGAGTAAAGTTAGATTTCTAAGATAGCTGCTGGGATGATGTAAATAAAACTAGGCTGCATTACACACTGCAACGGATATTCCAAACCTGAGCCCCAGCCTGCTCTGCTCTTGCTGATCAAAAACCTTTTTGTGTGCTGCTTAACCAATGGCTGTGCTGTGTAGGGCTGCGGTGGCAGTTCAGGAGGAGAGTCAAAAGTTTATTCCGATTTTTTTGTTTGTCGATTAGGCGTAGTCTATGTTCTGCTCAGTTTGAGAAGGATAGCGCGAAGATGAGAAGGAGGACCGGAGATCAACTTTGATAGCTTGTTACTACTATAATTGATTTGATTTAAAACAATATGTTTCTTGCCCGTTTATGTATTTATCAAGAGTTTTTGACTTCACAATAAGCCAGATTCAGGTAACTTACATTGTGGCGCTGAAACTTGAAGCAGCAGCCGCGGCACCGTCAATCTGAAATGGACAGCTCATGGTGCTGAAAGTAGGCACATTCAAGTAGGCATAACTCATTTAAAGTCTTCATTTTAATTAGACTTTACTAACGAGGGCTTTGTGTTAGAGCCTATTTATTCCTATTTAAGAAATAAGAGGTAGGCCTACCTGTTTGACTGACGAAATTAGGCTATAGGCTGCTATATCCATAGATTTGTCGGTCAATTCCTCCGCCCACCATGCACTCTTTAAATAGCCTTCCTCTGGGTCAGTGAAGGGCTGTTAAGTTACAACCAAGACACTAATTGAGGTGGTATGAGAGTGTCATAGGCCTATCTTTTTTTATTAAAGAAAATTGTAAAAATCACACCCTTGTTAGCTTAAGATTTTGAAGAAAATGAAACTGATCAGATTTATATATAGTGATCTATAACAGCGCTTTGGACGACCGATGTTTTATGCTATAAACAAGCTTTAAAATACCTGGGAAAGATGTGACTGACGCATATGGGGGATGTCATTGTTTCCTTTCTTTGACGTTCAAAGGCTGACTTTGCGTGGGAAGTAATTTAATTCTGTCACTATCAATTGATTTTAAGCTATTCACTTTCTGTACAATAGAATACATTTTAAACCAGACAGCTTTTAGGGAAACACTTGTGACCTCTTGTTGGGTTAAGCCATGGACAAAGAGTAGCCAGCAGTTAAAGCTTACATTTTTCTGCGTCGGTAGGCCTACTCTGTCTGGGGTGGCAAGGTTGGCCTAACTTTTGAAAGTACCAGGCTCCTAATGACGTCTCGATTTTAATTATTTGCAAACAAGACATACTGATTTTGCATTGTATACATATGATAAGGTGAACACACAGGCCTCTTTCTGTCCATTCTTAGCCTGTAATTTCAGTAATTTGTGTGGTATTCATATTCTGATATGTGGAATTATGTAGAATTGCATGAAATGTTTATAAAATACAAATACGATGCAATTATTTTACTATAAAGGAGATATTTCCACCCCTACTCTTGGTCAAATATATTTTACTGAAGGGAGGGCCATCCATTTTCATTTCGGAGGGGTCACATTTTTTCCATGTAACCCTTATTATAAATAACGTTAGCAAAGAGCAATTTCTCAAGCAAGAATTTATCTAGAACTGTTTGTCACCAGGCAGGCCAAAACTCCATCACACCAAAACGGGCAGAAATTTCAGGCGGTCTTTTCAAAACTGCTCCTACACCAAATGGACATTATCAGAATTTTTTACATTTCACAGTATTATTCCAACCTCATACAGTGCCTTCAGAAAGTATTCACATCCCTTGACTTTTTCCACATTTTTGTTGGTACAGCCTGAATTTAAAATTGATTACGTTTAGATTTAGTGACACTGATCTACACACAATACCCCACAATGTCAAATGTGATTTTATTTTTTTATTTTTTTTACAAATAACTGAAATGTCTTGAGTCAGTAAGTATTCAACCTTGTTATGGCAAGCCTAAATACGCTCAGGAGTAAAAATGTGCTTATGTTGCATGGACTCAATAATAGTGGTTAACATTACATTTTTTATGATTACCTCATCTCTTTACCCCACACACACAATTATCTGTAAGGTACCTCAGTCGAGTAGTGCATTTGAAACACAGATTCAGCCACAAAGACCGGGGAGGTTTTCCAATGCCTTGCAAAGAAGGGCACCTATTGGTAGATGGGTAAAACATTAAATCAAAGCAGACACTGAATATCCGTTTGAGCAGGGTGAAGTTATTAATTACACTTTGGATGGTGTATCAACACACCCAGTCACTACAAAGATACAGGCGTCCTTCCTAACTCAGTTGCCGGAGAGGAAGGAAACTGCTCAGGGATTTTACAATGAGGCCCATGGTGACTTTAAAAACAGTTAGAGTTTAATGGCTATGATAGGAGAACTGAGGATGGATCAACAACATTGTAGTTACTCCACAATACTAACCTAATTGACAGTCTGTACAGAATAAAAAATATTCCAAAACATGCATGCTGTTTGCAATAAGGCACTAAAGTAATACTGCAAAACATATGGCAAAGAAATAAACTTTTTGTCCTGAATATAAAGCATTATGTTTGGGGCAAACACAACACATCACTGAGGACCACTCTTCCTATTTTCTAGCATGGTGGTGGCTGCATCATGTTATGGATATGCTCGTCATCGGCAAGGACTTGGGAGATTTCTTTGGGATAAAAAAAAGAAACGTAATGGAGCTAAACACAGGCATAATCCTAGAGAAAAACCTGCTTGTCTGCGTTCCAACAGACAGTGGGAGACACATTCTCCTTTCAGCAGGACTATGACCTAAAACACAAGGCCAAATATACAATGGAGTTGCTTACCAAGACGACATTGAATGTTCTTGAGTAGCCTAGTTACAGTTTTGACTGAAATCGGCTTAAAGATCCAGGGCAAGACTTGAAAATGGCTGTGTAGCAATGATCAACAACCAACTTGACAGGGCAAATATTGTACAATCCAGTTGAGCAAAGCTCTTAGACTTACCCAAAAAGATGCACAGCTGTAATCGCTGCCAAAAGTGATTCTAACATGTGTTGACTCAGGGGGTTGAATACTTATCTAATCAAGATACTGTATATTAGTGTTTCATTTTTCCTGAATCTTAAAAAAAATATATGATTTTTATTTTGTAAAAAAACTACTTTTTACATCCATTTTAATCCCAATTTGTAACACAACAAAATGTGGAAAAAGTCAATGGGTGTGACGGTATTCTGTGTGTAAAACAAATGAAAACCTTGCTTTTGACTGCACTGGGCTTTTAAGGGGAAAAGACTGCACTGTGCTGTCGGCTCTGTGCCAGCTTTACCTTCCTAATAACTGCCTCTTCCCTGTTACCACCACGGCAGGATGATGAAGACCATTACAAGGCTGCACAGGGCCATGATGGTGCTGGAGTACTTCACCAGCCACTCGTGGGTGTGGAAAACTGACAACGTCACCATGCTCATGAACCAGATGGGCGCTGATGACAAGAGGGTACACTTTAAATCCACCCACCAGTCACACACACACAAACACACTTGTAGGACGCACATATACACACACTTCTAGGACACACACACAAACTTGTGTAGGGCACGCACACTGGTAGGGTGGCAGACAGACGAATGGCGTATGTTTGAGATTGTAGCCGACGCACAATTGAATAATTCATCTTGGTTTTGAATGGAGTAATTGTGTTGGATAGTCAGGGCCTGGCTGAAATGTACAGTGAATATACGTTGGTCCAACAGAAACCTAGTGATAACATGTTTCAGATTGTACTTTTGTAGACATTTTTCCTCTACTACAAACTTGCTATCCTTACAATATGAAATGCTCTTGATGTTCTTTTAATCCAGACATTCAACTTTGACGTGCGACAGCTGAACTGGGCAGAGTACATGGAGAACTACTGCATGGGGACAAAGAAGTATGTCCTGAACGAGGCTGAGTCCGGCCTGCCAGCTGCACGCAAACACATCAACAAGTAAGATAAATGTCTATCTGCATGTGTTTTTGTACAACAGAATTACAGTGCCAAGGTTTATTAACACAACCAACAATACATACAAATCATAACTCCAGATACACACCCTGACTAGGGCTTAGAGGACACACACAATGAATTAGTAGCAGGGCAATAAATAATACTAAGTATCCTAGACTTAAGCCTTGCATGTAAAACACTTCTAGGAGAATCTCATGCAAACTTCAGATAAAGTACACTGAGGCCAGTTCATTAGGTACACCACTCCATTCACAATTTTTTTTCAGCTCTTACAGACATGAGTCACGTGGCCGTGGCTTGCTATATAAAGCAGGCATCGAGGCATTCAGTTACTGTTCGATTGAACGTTAGAATGGGCAAAATGAGTGACCTAAGTAACTTTGAGCGTGGTATGATTGTCTGTGCCAGGCTTGATCCAAGTTTACCTTAAATGTCCCTTGCCCAGGCGAGGGAGAGTGATGATCGGAAAGGCATCGTCCTTGGGTGAAATCTTGAAATTGAGCGTTTTATAGGCTCCTCACTACGAGACTAAGCCAATTTGCCAACGCTAAAATCAATGTAATCTATAGAGTCATAATTTTGTCTGAAATGCTGAAAATGCAGCCATGTTGCTTAAATTTGACACTTCGCAGCCACCAGAGTATGACACGTGACTACAGTTTGCATTGAATTGTGGATCATATCAACCCCACAAGTGATCAAAGTTCTTCACTCGCTCCCTCAAGCTAAATCGAGGGCCGAGGGGGCAACGTTAGTGAATTGGACGTCCACTTAAAATGGCAATCAAACTGCATCCGGTTTCGACTGGGATTTCCCCCAAGGGAAAGTGGCTAGCGCGAGGGCTGAGGGGGTAAAAATAATGTGTTTGGACTGCAGCCCAATTGAGCAACGTTTCCATGCCCCAAAGAATTCAGGCTGTTCTGGAGGCAAGGGGGGTCCGACCTGGTACTAGATGGGTGTACCTAATAAACTGACCACTGAGTGCACACTCAAGATGAAACACTTTGAAAGATGGTAACACATTTGTGATAATTAGCATGCAAAAGCACACACATTAATTCATAAGGCTGTTCTATAATCAAAATAGCCCCTCCAAAAGACAGCCAGCCCTGGAGGAAGTGGGGAAGTGGTGACAAATAAGACAGATATTCAAAGACTTACAAGGACAATTAGTCTGCCTGCCAAGACAACCCCAAATCTTTTGCCTGAATACCAGCTCATTCGCTTAGGGTGGACTAGACCAAAACATCAGACTCTTACCATGGTTACTCAATGGATTTTCAGTCTGACCGAAGTCGCCCTAAAAAAGATGCAATAGTCTCTACAAGCCAAAATGTTGAATGCAATATTTACACTTACTGTACCGGTTGTACATGCTGTGGGTCCTTTTGGCGGTAGGAGGTGGAGATGGGGGATCCACAGGAAAGTGTTGTTTACCCAACTTTTTGCGGCACCGGTAGGTTCTGTCGCTTGTATTTTCAAACTCTTGACGCATTGCACAATATGTAAACAATAGCCGAATGTAACCAAACGTAGTCGACCAAAGCACGTTTACTCGCAATCAGCTGGAAGTGTTTGCCTTTCTGTCTGGTTCAGTTAGGCTCGGGCCATATTGTGCAAGTGTTTGTCATGTGCGAATTGCATCAATATTGAAAATACAAACCGGAAATACAAACCGATATACAGACCAGCGTACTGAAGGTCGGGTTGATAACACTTCCCTGTGGATATTTTGTATCAGATGACCTCTGACATAGGGACAAAATGGGCAGACAGTGGGTAAATGAAGGGACTGTTCGGGAATGCTGAGCCTACATGTTAGACGTGTGTGTCAGTATTTCATGCTCGGATTGTAAAAGAGGCTACTACCTACCTAATGTAAGGGACACGAACTAAGGTTAAACCTAACACGATAAGAGCAACGAAAGGATTCTCCAACGCTCTCTTTAAAGTTGATAAGCCATACCCTTTCCCGGTCTGCACAACTATGAATAGGGCTTCAATGCCGAGTCTCTCAGACGGCGTTGAGCGCTTCTCTAAAACAGCATCGAACACGTCACCGACACGCAAATCATTGTCTTACATGGCTGTTGTTTAGGTGAGTAAGCGGTAAAGCATTCTGAGAGAAAGAAACAGAAGTTAGCCTACCCAAACGTTTGACAGAGTTTGACAAACACAGCCAACTGGGTGAACAGGGATGTGCACCGTTCCCTGTCCTCCGAGGAAGAACCAAAGATGCCTTGAGGAAGGTTCTGCTCAGGTATTTGACATTACTCACCTCATACCACCCACTAGGTGCCACTGGCTACAATAAGAACTATCCTCTTATTAAAAATGCCCAAGTGATCTTGAATAATTAATTGTCATGGCTTTGACATGGTATTTTTCTGTTCTATGATGCACACGTTTCTTTCTGTTTTTTGGGATCACTAGCAAATCCCAATGTTTCCCTAGTATCCTCTGCTCTATAATTAATTGTTGCTCACAAAATTCAAAGGGTAAATCTCTATTGCATGTGACATCAGGAAAATGTATCTTTTAAAGGGTTACTCCTATTCCTGCTAAATTGTATTGCAGCAGATACATTTTCCTAGCGTAGTGGATGTATTTACTAATCTCCTGAGAATGCAGGTGAATGCCTCTCTACATGCAAGCTACCATGAACACGTCATTGTATTTCTTCAGTTACCTCAAACTGATCTCCATGGCAACTAGGCCCTGTTCATATAAAAAAAAGATGTATGTCTGTCATCCTTTTGTATGTTTCAGGTTGAGGAACATCCGCTACACGTTCAACACGGTCCTGGTCGTGTTCATCTGGCGAGTGTTCATCGCGCGGTCCCAGATGGCCAGGAACATCTGGTACTTTGTGGTCAGCCTCTGCTTCAAGTTCCTGTCCTATTTCCAAGCGTCCAGCACCATGAAATGCTGAGGCCACGTGGTGTAGTCAACCTGACCCCGTCCATCCACCCTCCTCAACCCAGCAACCCCAGTCTAGTCCGCCTTCTCTCCCTCCTGACCAGCCCCCCTTCAGAGACAGAAGCTATGTATCCGACAAGGCTTTGCAAATCCTGGAACTAATTTGAGTCACTTAATCTACTGTATGTGATATGTCCCATTCTCTTTGCAGTGTGATCCCTGATGTGGGGGGTTGTACTGCATTTGACTAAGCATGACTCTAATCAGACCCCAGGTCCTGTGACGCTCCCCTTGCACATTGATAGTCAGCCAGACAGAGTTATTGATGCCTAGGTTGGTTGTCATGGAGATGGAGCACTGCTTTGCTGACTGTCCCCAGGGTGGTCAGGCGGTGGCTTTGATTTAATGGTTTAAATTTTCCTGCTTGAATGGGGTGAAGGCACCCATATACTGTATGCTTGATGGTGGCAATGACTAATTCCCAATGACATGATCAAGCACAAGGTAGATATAACGGGATGGCTTTTTACAGTGCCTAAAAGGTATGATTATCCTGCATCAGCTGACTTTGCAGAGCTGGGTTTTTTTCTTTTTTGTTGCATTTGTTTTTTCTTTCATTTTTATGTTGCATTCAAACAATTTCTGACTGGACTGTCCGCTTATGATTCTGGCCCAAATACCTCTTGGCTCATGTAGCTCAGATCAGGCAACTGCTCTGAGGATTAGATTTTGGGGAGTTTGTGTATTCTAGGGTCTCTTACACTGCTTTCACTGAGAACAGCTTTTAGAAATGCGCATCTACAGTTGAAGTCGGAAGTTTACATACACTTAGGTTGGAGTCATTAAAACTTGTTTTTCAACCACTCCACAAATGTCTTGTTAACAAACTATAGTTTTGGCAAGTCGGTTAGGACATCTACTTTGTGGGTGACACAAGTAATTTTTCCAACAATTGTTTACAGACAGATTCTTTCACTTATAATTCACTGTATCACAATTCCAGTGGGTCATACACTAAGTTGACTGTGCCTTTGAACAGCTTGGAAAATTCCAGAAAATGATGTAATGGCTTTAGAAGCTTCTGATGTGTGTACGTGTGAATGTATTTCAAGGCCTACCTTCAAACTCAGTGCCTCTTTGCTTGACATCATGGGAAAATCAAAAGAAATCAGCCAAGACCTCAGAAAAAAAAATGGTAGACCTCCACAAGTCTGGTTCATCCTTGGGAGCAATTTCCAAACGCCTGAAGGTACCACGTTCATCTGTACAAACAATAGTACGCAAGTATAAACACCATGGTACCACGCAGCCGTCATACCGCTCAGGAAGGTGACGCGTTCTGTCTCCTAGAGAGGAACGTTCTTTGGTGCGAAAAGTGCAAATCAATCCCAGAACAACAGCAAAGGACCTTGTGAAGATGCTGGAGGAAACGGGTACAAAAGTATCTATATCCACAGTAAAATTAGTCCTATATCGACATAACCTGAAAGGCCGCACAGCAAGGAAGAAGCCAATGCTCCAAAACCGCCATAAAAAAGCCAGACTACGGTTTGCAACTGCACATGGGGACAAAGATTGTACTTTTTTGGAGAAATGTCCTCTGGTCTGATGAAACAAAAAAATTGCCATTATGTTTGGCCATAATGACATCATTATGTTTGGAGGAAAAAGGGGGTGGCTTGCAAGCCAAAGAACACCATCTCAACCGTGAATCACGGGGGTGACAGCATCATGCTGTGGGGGTGCTTTCCTGCAGGAGGGACTGGTGCACTTCACAAAATAGATGGCCTCATGAGGAAGGAAAAGGATGTGGATATATTGAAGCAACATCTCAAGACATCAGTCAGGAAGTTAAAGCTTGGTCGCAAATGGGTCTTCCAAATGGACAATAACCCCAAGCATACTTCCAAAGTTGTGGCAAAATGGCTTAAGGGCAACAAATTCAAGCTATTGGAGTGGCCATCACAAAGCCCTGACCTCAATCCTATGGAAAATGTGTGGGCAGAACTGAAAAATCGTGTGCGAGCAAGGAGGCCTACAAACCTGACTCAGTTACACCAGCTCTTTCCGGAGGAATGGGCCAAAATTCACCCAACTTATTGTGGGAAGCTTGTGGAAGGCTACCCGACCCGTTTGACCCAAGTTAAACAATTTAAAGGCAATGCTACCGACTACTAATTGAGTGTATGTAAACTTCTGACCCACTGGGAATGTGATGAAAGAAATAAAAGCTGAAATAAGTCATTCTCTCTACTATTATTCTGACATTTCACATTCTTAAAATAAAGTGGTGATCCTAACTGACCTAAGACGGGGAATTTGTACTAGGATTAAATGTCAGGAATTGTGAAAACTGAGTTTAAATGTATTTGGCTAAGGTGTATGTAAACCTCTGACTTCAACTGTATGTCCATTTTAAAATAACGAGTAACTGTTTTTCCCCATGTTGGTCAATGTCACGGGCATATATTTAACTGTCTGGAATTGGAGTGTTGTGTTCTGCTTATGTATGTCACATGTTTTATCTAGTTTGGGATACTCCATGCATGGGAGAGTCCTCTCCTCTTCCCATCCGAACACCTTTATCTTTGTGTCTTGCTATAACTTTCAAAGGTGGTCTTTATCCAATATTTGCCTGGGTAGGTGATGTTTTTTACTTGTCCCTTTTCCATGTTGTCTTGTACATATTGTCTACGATGTTGGACTTACAGTACACTTTCCTGTGGTAGTACGCTGCATGACTTTCATTCGGAGTGTCCATTTGTCATATAGTCACTTATACCTACCATAGATGTTTGGCCAGATTGTAAGATAGTCCTTTGATCTGTGCTCACATGATCTGTTGGGAATAAGATTAATAAGTAATCCACTTTCCGGGAGGTTTGTATGAATTGTGCCTGACTTGTCTATTACAAAATATTAGAGGTTCGTCACTAGTTACCACAGCCAAAGAGTTCTACAATTTCTCCTCTTAAAATAGGATTTTAAACCTAACCTTGATCACACTGCCAGCCTTATGCCTAACCTTAAATGAAGACCAAAAAGCACGTTTTTGTTTTCATGAACTTTTACGATATTTTGACTTTGTGGCTGTGCTAGCTAGTGGAAACCGAAAAAGAGCAATCGGATCTATGTTTTCTAATCAGTTTGTGTACAACTCTATTTAGGTAGACTTCAAGATCTGACTTAAAGTATTTTTATGCTATTAAACAAAATAATTAATATTACATGGCTATTTATTTACTAAAGAGAAAAGCTTGAGGAAACAAATTCACCTGATCCAACTTCAGCTGCTGCATACCATTTTACTTGTGGGATTTACTGCATTATGTTTAAACTGTTTTATTTACATTTACATTTTAGTCATTTAGCAGATGCTCTTATCCAGAGCGACTTAGAGTTAGTGAGTGCAAACATCATAAATTTTTTTCATACTGGCCCCCCGTGGGAATCAAACCCACAACCCTGGCTTTGCAAACGCCATGCTCTACCAACTGAGCTGCATCCCTTTTTATCAATTCTATTGTCAGTTCTTTTAAGTGTACAATTTTTCTCAGAATAGTTAATAGAGCCTGACTCTTTGCACAGCTTACTAAAAAACTGCCTGATTCCTGAAAATTAAGGGAATACTGTAGTTGCTTCTATTTTAATATGAATTAACAACTTGACATGTCCGTTGTAATAACTTTTTTTTAAGCATTTTGAAAGGGATCCTTACTTTCACTTTTTTAATCCATTTTCTGTGTTTGATTTGAAGATTTTAGTGTGTAATAGTGTTGTTGTTTTTTTCTGTTGTGGCTTGCTATTATTCTTGTATAGTATTGTTAAACTTGTCTTGCAATGGAACAGCCAATTCAGGGTTTCCTAGGAGCTTGTCTTGCCATTGAAGAAATAAGGAAGTGGAGCAGACCATTTCTACTGCTTCCTTTTATGTTGCTAGGGATTCATATTACTGGATCATTGCACATCTGTAACTTTTACATTCATTCTGGTTTTACAGCATCATATCCCAATACCGTCTGGACAGAAATTTTGATTTAAATTAATATATTCCTCTTGCCTTTTGTCTGCACATTTTTTTTAGTTGTCCTGTTTCCTCTTTTATAGTTGTAGAATGTAGTCCCCTAGAAAGAACTGTACCCTATAACCAATTTGTTGTCTTTACCATGACTGTCAGTTAATGTTCCAGAGTATGCGCTCTGCATATTTCATGGAGGGTTTAAAAGCTCTTTCCACAGTCAAGGTAAATGTTTTAAAAATCAATGGGTGCCTTTTGTTTGTAAACCAAAAAGAAGGAATAAACTCTGTTAAATCCTGTTTGCGGGAAGTTTTGTTGTTCTTAACTCTATTTTATGTTGTGCGGTTGAAAAATAACTTGCCATAGCTTTGTTCTTAAAAGCTTTTTCTTACTCCAGTGGTCACCCCTAGGTAGAGAGGAGCTGGTAATACTGCTTGATCATTCCAGTAATACTTCTAATTTGGTGGGTGCTTATTTGTCCCATTTCACACAAGTGTGTATTTATACGTGTGTGTGTGTGTGTGTGTGTGTGTGAATTGGAAATGTGTTTTTTTGCATATCCCAAATCCCCCTGAGACGCCCTCGGAGACTGGGGTCACAGCCAGGGTCTGACATTATCAACGGCAACCCTGGAGCAATTCTCAAGGGACACACTTTTTTCACCTTCGAGGTCCAGAGTTGAGTTTGATGGATCTAGAATGTCATTGTATGCTGTAGCGTTAAGATTTCCCTTCACTGGAACTAAGGGGCCTAAACCATGAAAAACAGCCCCAGACCATGATTCTTCCTCCACCAAACTTTACAGTTGGCACTATGCATTCGGGTAGGTAGCGTTCTCCTGGCATCAGCCAAACCCAGATTTGTCCGTCGGACTGCCAGATGGTGAAGCATGAGCGTTTCCACTGCTCCAATGGCGGCGAGATTTACACCAATCCAGCCGCCGCTTGGCATTGCGCATGGTGATCTTAGGCTTGTGTGCGGCTGCTCGACCATGGAAGCCCATTTCATGAAGCTCCAGACGAACAGTTATTGTGCTGACATTGCTTCCAGAGGCAGTTTGGGACTCGGTAGTGAGTGTTGCAACCAAGGACAGACGATTTTTACACTCTTCAGCACTCGGCGGTCCCATTATGTGAGCTTGTGTGGCCTACCACTTTG